TATAGTTTGCCAATGCTAACTTATTTGTGTTAATATTAGTATGGCTCTATGAATGGTCACTGCAGTTATTCTATGCACATCTAACATTAGTGGTCACCATCTATACTTTTTATATTTCATTTTTTTTCTAATCTCAGTAATAGATGCAAATCTGTCACCATATGTATCTGTAGTGGATATTCTTTCCTGCCTACTCAGGTTGATACTGAAGTTGGTTCTAGTTCACACAGGCTTCTGCCACAATAAATGAGGACTGCTAGTCTCAAGGTGCCATACAACTGTTGGTTTTGCAGCTACAATGCTAACATTGTCAAAGAGCTCTGATGATCAGGATGTTTCTCCTGAGATTTAGGTGGATTCTATTTTCCTGTAGTTTGCATCCCTTGCTCCTTGTCCTAGTCTCTGGAGCCATTGAAAACAAGTCTCTTCTTTCTTCAATATGACATCCCTTCAAATATTTGGATATGACTATCACATCTCCTCTTCTTCTTTTCATCAGACTAAACATTCCCAGCACTCTAAGCCATTCCCCATAGGGCTTTATGGTTTCCAGACCTTTCGCCATTTTATTTGACCTCCTCTGGACATGCTCCAACTTGTCCACATCCCTTTTGAATTGTTGTGCCCAGAACTGGATGCAATATTCCAGGTGAGGCTTGATCAAAGCAGAATACAATTGTACGATCACTTCCCTTTATCTAGACACTATACCTCTATTGATGCAACCAATAATTTTGTTGGCTTTCTTGGCTGCCACATCACACTCTTGACTCATGTTCAACTTGTGATCTGCTAGGACTCCTAAATCCCTTTCTCATGTACTGTTGTCTAGCCAGGTGTCCCCAGTCCTTCCTGATGGCATTAAAGAAAGTTGATAACAGTCCTTGGTGTGTGTCTCCTGGGTGAAGTTGCTCAGCTGTAGTCAAATTGGAAGATGATCACTTTCAAACCTAGGCATGACTTCTAGATCCTTATCATAGGGGAGAAGATCCTTAGAAATGATTAAGTAGTCGATGGTGCTCATTCTGAACCCAGCGAGATAAATGAATTCAGCTTGACAGTCACTTTTCAGAGCAACATTTAAGAGACAAAGATTTAGTCTGAAGACTGATTGAGCCAGACATAGGCCTGCAACATTTGATTTTTTGTCTTTTGCGCATTGGATGAGATGAGTTTCATCATCCTCAAGGTTAGGAGGAAGGCATTTATGCTGGGTGTATAGGACATGATCATTGAGGCTCAGTCTAGCATTCAAATCTTCCCCCAGAACTACAAATGCATTTGGATTCTGCAATATGAGGTTGGCAGTATATGTTTCCAGTTCAGCCCACAGGTTTCTGATTTGGAATTTCTTCTTCATTGGAGACATGTAGACATTTATTATCAGCAAAGTGCAGTGGTTAAATTGGGTTAGCACTGCCATGGCATATGTTTTAAATGTGGGAAGAGGATTTGTTTTGGCACATAGAGTAGTGGAAACCATGTGTGTGTGTGCAGATGGGTGGACCTGGGCCACCCCGAGAAGTGAAGGATAGGGGCTGAGACTGCTGCATGCCTTGGCACTGATCCTCCCTTTTGCTGGCCCAGAAAAGAGCAGCAAAATGCCGCTCCTTTCAGTGCCAGCCAAAGGCTGCCCTAAGAGCCAGCGTGCAGCTCTTTAGCCCCCCTACTGGTGCAGTGCTCTTTCCCATCTCTGCCTCCAATGCGGCCCTTTGGGCTGGGCTGTGAGGCCCCAGGACTCCCAGAACTCCTCTTGCTCTTCCATGCTTTCTCAGGCACTGCAGTTCCAGATCTTTAGCCACCCATGATTCCTGGATCAGTAAAATATCACACTGGGCAAGGAAGTCAGTGAAACAGGGATCTCTGTTAGATGTGTGCCACCCAGTGATGTTCCATGTTATAAGGGCAACCTTATTCTGGTTGGTTGATTGGTTGTCAAACAGTTACACTGCAGAGTGTGTGAATCCCCCAGTGGCAGTTAGTCCAAATTAGCCAATTGCTGGGATAGCCGTAGCAATGTCTTTCTGTGAATGGTGGTGTAGCACATCACATTCCCGCTCTTCACTAGAGAAGCTATAGTGACCAGTGCTGCATGGGTGCAAAATGTGGGTCATAGGCAAGCAATGACCCCATTTCTTTGGCAATGGGATCATCCTTTGGCTCTTGTGAGATAGGAGATGTGATAGGTGATGGTGAGAGCTGTCTTTCCTGTGGGCAGGGATTACACAGAGTTTAAGACCCCTGGAATTTAATTGTAGAGAAGATGTCTGTACAAGACATTTTAAGAGGGGTATTTGCAGTTTGGGATTTCATGACTTCCATGAATGCTGACAGAGAGTCATCGCTTCTGCTGCTTGTATCGAGAAAATCTAAGGACGTTATCACATGGGGAGTTGCAGGGAGAAAGTGGAAATAAATGGGACGAGCGGAAGACTTTAATTTATGGGATTTGTCCCATTCTGCCTCATCTGGCTCAATGCTAGAAAATCATGGGAACTGTATTTTTTTTTCTGAGACATTGAGCCTTCTCTGTCAGAGAGCTCTGGTGCTACTATAAACTACAGTTCCCATGATTCCCTAGCACTGAGTCAGGGCAGTTAAAGTGGACTCAATTTGCACTATTTCTGGCAGTCTGCAAAGGCCCTTCATCTGTTTCTCTGCTTTAGAGACTTTCTGGTTTTCAGAATTGATGTGAGGGCTGGTCTGGATTCTTTTTATTTTTGGTGTTTGGGTGGTATTTTAAATTGTATGGAGGTGATAAGACCAGATAATGTTGGGAGGCTAATTCAGCCATTGCTAGTCTGTTGCCATCTTGCCCCACCTCCAAATGGACACAAATGTGACATTAGAAAAGGTAGCACAATATAACAGGAATCGGCAACTCCATTCAGTGTGAGAGGCAATGTTCTGCCCATGGGACACAACAGGAACCATATTTGTTATTGTTCTTAGCTGCCTTTGAGTCGACCTCAACTCATGGTGACCCTGTGGATGAGACGTCTCCAAGCCCCCCTGTCCTCCACCTCCCTGCACAAGTCCTGCAGGCTCAGGCCCATGATCTTCCTGATTGAGTCTATCCATTTGGCATGTGGTCTTCCTCTCTTTCTAGTGTCTTCTACCTTTCCTAGCATCATTGTCTTTTCTAATGATTCGTACCTTCTCATGATGTGGCCAAAGTAAAACAGCTTCAGTTTATCATCTTGGCTTTCAGGGAGATTTTAGGCTTGAACTGTTCAAGGATCCATATTTTTTGTCTTCTTGGCTGTCCATGGTATCCTCAGCCATCTGCTCCAGTACCACAGAATGATAAATAGTTACTGATAGCCTCCTCTCCCATGACTTTGGGTCACTTATCTCTTTTTCTCCCTTTGACAGTTGGGGGGCATTTCCACACATTTGCACAAGCTTGTTGATGACCATTGTCCAGCTGTTGATTTCAAATGTGGTGCCTAAATAATATACTTGAATCTCCTCTGAAAATTATTGTGTAGCTTCTATTTATTCCAATGGGGTTTTGTACATGAGGAAAAAGCACTTTCTCTTCTATATTTTATTAAAATAGTAAAACAGAATTTTAAAAATCCTCTCAGTGCACTGGATCTTTCTGCTTGGATCAGCCTGAAAAGTGAGTGGGGATGATGCTGGTCAGATAAAGGAAGCATCTTGGCATGAGCTGAAAAGGTTTGGGTAGCCATAGATTGTTGTATTTTAATCAGATTTATTGATAATCCACATGCAATGGCCACTTTTTTTTAAAGCACTGTTGACAGGCTGTCACCCTCTTGCTTGTCAGGGCAAAGAGACTTATGTATGTTTTTAAATTGTATTGAGTTTTTTTAAATTTGTAAGCTGCTTTATGTCCCATTTTTGAGGAAAAGTGGGATATAAATAAATATTATAATAACACTATAAAAACAAGAGAGAGATCTCAGTTGCACCAGTCTTGCTTGCTGGGAAATGTCCTACCCTTTAAGCATCCTTCTTCTCAAGAGTCTCAGTGGTAGGAATGACCAGGCTTTGGGGAGGCAGTTTAAGGTCTATAGCCAACTCTGTGAAGTTGTAAGTAGTTGAGAAAATGAGTTTAAATGTAGCAAAACTTATCTAAAATCTTCAGGACTGAAAAAGACTGAATTTGAAGGGAAAGAAAGAATGATCAAATTAAAGAAATGAAAGATAGAGAAAGGAAATTTAAGTAAGAAGGCCAAAGAAAGAATGAGAATGGTAATGTAGAAGGAGGGATAATTTCTGATCACCAGCATCTGAAGCTAGTAATTTAATAGGGATCTCCTAGTGGGTTGGCATTACTTCCCTGCATATTGATTTTTCCACCCCTAGTGAGCCAATTGCAAAAACATATTAGGATATTGAAAGCAGAAGCATCTTCTAGGATATGGTCTGGATGAAAGAGAAATGGAATGGGGAGTGAGTGGGGAAATGTGGCAAGTTAAAGTCATGTCAATCTTTTTTCTGGAAAAGTCACATCAAGTGCAGTGAAAGGTGCAGAGCAGCCAAATGCAAAGTCAGTAACAGCTGCTGTATTTCTCTTGATCTTTCCATCTGGGTCTGCAGAGGGAGGAGGGGGAAAAGGAGGAAAAGGAAGAGCAGCACAAGCAAAAGCACCAGAACTGATCTTAGGCAAAGCAAATTCTTCAGGGACACCCTCCCCCCAACAAATGTACCCTTTTCAATAACATTGTATTTTGTTAACATATCCTGGGGGAGCTGTGTTGGCCATATAACAAAATATGGTAACATACAAATCTACAAAACAGTAATACCTTTATTGGGGCAAATGCACAACATACATGTTGCAAGCTTTTGAAGCTCCACTGGCTTCTTCATCAGGCAAAGGTGTTAAAAATCATTTGTTGTTATGGTGTGCTTCCAAGTCATTTCTGCATTATGGCAACCTTAAAGTGACCCTATCGTGGGGTTTTCTTGGCAAGTTTCCCCTGAGGCTGAGAGAGTGTGACTTGCCCAAGGTCACCTAGTGGGTTTCATGGCTGAGCAGGGATTTAAACCCTGGTCTCAAGAGTCAGAGTTCAACACTCAAACCACTAAACCATGCTGGCTCTTACTATTGCTCATTTGTGATGTAAACTTAGAATGATTTGCAAACATTTGTGTTACAGTATTTCTCCCTTTGTGTCTGATGATTTGTCATTTTTACAGGTAGCCTTTAATGAAGCTGCTTCAGCATAAGAAATTTCCAGAAAAGGGGAGATTCTTATTTGACAGCAGCTGGCCCTGTGTGTGTGTGTGTTTTACATGCTTGGATTGAAAAAGGAATAATCTCCCATGTGATTTGATTTATATGGTTTTGGCAGCTGTAAATTGCCCACAGCTTGCTGCAAACTCTCTCTGATGAAATATTTCAGTTTCATTGAAATCTCAGGGTTAAAAAAACCCCAAAAAACTGAAGCTCTGTAAGAGAAGAGAGCAGATGTCCCTTTCAGCTGGCCATTGCCTGCATCTTGAATAGCAGGAATCTTGCTGGACCCTTTTGCTTTGGCAACCTTCTGTAGAAGATTCATCTGAAACAACACACAGGATGAACTTTTAACTTGTTCCTCTATGACTGTGATGGGAAGGGACTCAGGACCATTCAACAAATATTACCAAAAACAGATTAAATATTAAGAAATTTTTCTAACAGGTTAGATGCCCAGAATTGTCATCTTTTGTTATTAAAAAGCTTTATTATGTTAAAAAAACACACAAATTAAACATGAACATAAATCTACCCCAACACCCCCCCTTCAATGAAAAACATTCCTTGTTTTTTTTGCCCTGCCAAATAAATTTTGACAAATTGTTTTGCCAGTCCCTTTGCCAGTTTTCACATAGTATGTCATTAAAATTAATATTGTTTGAAAGAGAAAATACACTTTAAGCAAACTATTAATTTCTATTCCTGAAATCCTTCCAAGTAGTGAGAGCTTATACCATCTTTGAATTGTTGTCATCTTGTGTGTGTCTCCTAGTAACACAATTTTTCAGATATACTGTTTCATTACAATAATGTGTATTCTTGCCGTAACAAATACGACTACTAGACTTGAACATTAGTTGTACATGTCTACTAAAAAAAAAAAAGACCAATTATTTTCAATGGGATTTACTCCCAAATACTGTCAAGTACACTCAGTACATCTTAGTATACTGAAACAATCCATAGAAAAAATGGTGAAACTGTGAAATTTGTACATTTTGGGCCCTTCTTAACAAAAAATGGTTTACATAAAAAACACTGGTTTTGAGCAAAAAAATTAATTGTTTCCCTCCCCCCCCCCAGTGCTTTGTTGCACCATCCACTGTTTTCTATGCAAAAGCACTGCTTTTTCATCAAGGCCCAAAATAGACGGGCCAAAAAATGCTGTCCACAGCTGTACCAGTGTGATTCACACTGGGCCCGTGGCAACTGCATGTGTCTGGCCCCATTCCAGGCCACCACTGTGGTTTTGAACTAGGCTGGCAAAAGGAGTGGTATTTTACTGATCCTTTTTGCCCCGGTTCTTTGCTGATGAAGAAGGTCTGGCATGGTTTCCTACCATGTTCAGGGTGTGCGTCATCTAAACATGGGGAACCATGTAATTTGGCCCATCTGTTTCAGGATTAAGGTTCTTCCCCCCCCCCCAACAAAAAGTTCTGAAGTTCAAGAGTTCATCCAGAAATGTGGAAAACTTCCTGTAATTTCACCCAATGGGGGAAAGACTTTAGAAATTCTTCATTTTTGCTGGAAGTATGAAGTAAGTGAAAATTTCATCCCTGGTCCCAAGAAATTGTGTTTTTTAGGATGACAGTTTCATTGGAGGGAATATCGGTGTCTACTGTTGGTGGTAGGCGAGGTGAAAAGAGTTGAAAAGTTAAACTACAAGTGGTCAGTTGTGTGGTTTAGCCTTGAATGCAAGATTTTTCTTCCAGAAACCAGCTGTTTGGGGGCTCCTAATCTGGACTGGGATTCTTAGGTGAGACAAGACTGTAATTTTTATGGGGATGGGAGTTCTTATTGATTTACTTTTAATCCCAGGTTAGCGCATACTAGATTGCAGCTTTCAATTCTACACTGCTGCAGCTATAATCCATGCATGACTACAGTGGCCAATACTACATTATTTGCATCAAGTGGTAACACCTGTTCTGTGTAGCATCCTTAATGAAAGAGTAAGGCTGAACAATAGAAAAGACATGAGTGTAGGTAAGCACACTGTCTCAGCACTCTATTTTACCTCTCAAGATTTTGCTCAATGTGTATATGAGGCATGGTATATTGATAAGGAGAATAATTTCTTCCTTCTTAATGGTTAATGCTCATGATCCTTGTCACTGGGAAATACTTTTAGACAGAATCATCGACTTATAGAATCATAAAAGGGGAAGAGACCACAAGGGTAATCCCCATGCTATGCAGGAACACACAATCAAGCACCCCCAACAGATGGCAGTTCAGCCTCTGTTTAAAGACCTCCAAAGAACCTCCAAAGAAGGAGACTCCACCGGCCTCCAAGGGAGCCATCTACTAATCTCTGGAGCAGTAGAAAACCAGCTTGCTCCTTCTTCCATTTGACATCCTTTCCAATATTTAAACATGGCTGTTATGCCCTTTCTTAACCTTCTTTTCTCCCGGCTAAACATACACAGCTCCCTAATAGTCTCTCCTCATAGGGCTTTATAGTTTCCAGACCTTCCACCATTTTGGTCGCCCTCCTTTGGACACATTCCAGCTTCTCCACATCCTTTTTGAATTGTGGTGCCCAGAACTGGACACAGTATTCCAGGCGAGGCCTGACCAAAGTAGAATAAAGTGGCACTATTACTTCTCTCAATCTAAACACTATACTTTTATTGTTGCACCAAAAGCCAGCATGGTGTAGTAGTTCGACTGTAGGATTTGGGTTCTGAGTTTGATTCTCCTTGGGTGAGGTGACCTTGGGTGAGTCCCACACTCTCAGCCCCAGAAAACACAGTAATAGTATTCCTAATCACAGAGTCACCTCCAGTATTTCCCTAAGTCTACTGAAATCAGCTTTCCTAAAGTCTAGAATGTATGTCTGACTATACTTCTATCCTTTCCACTGTATAACAAACTCCAGGAGAACATGATCACTCCTGCCTAAGGATCCCACCACTTGCACCCCATTAACCAAGTCAATCCTGTTGGTTAGGATCAGGTCTAAAACAGCTGATCCCATTGTTGCCTCTTCCACCTTTTGGATAATGAAATTGTCTGCAAGGCAAGTGAGAAATTTGTTGGATCTTATATTTCTGGCAGAGTTTGTCTTCCAACAAATATGATAGTTGAAGCCCCCCATTAGTACTACAGCTCGCTTTTCTGAATGTTTGGTTATCTCTTCCAAGAAGGCCTTATCCAAGTTCCCAGTCTGACTTGGAGGTCTGTAGTAAACCCTCACAATGGCATCCCTTAATTTTTACCCAGGTGCTCTTAAACTGGCTTCCAGGATTTAAGACATGGCTCTCTTCACATGTTTGGCAAAGGGGAGCTGCACACACTCACATTTCATTTATGGGTGGTTTACAGCCTCTTCTAGAAAGTAATCTAAACTTATTGTTCACATTTTGTGGGTAGCATTTCTTATGGTTATTTTCTTTCTGTGATGCTGAATCACTCTTCTTAAATGGCATTCAACACACACCACAAACATGGTGCCATAAAAGCCCACGGAGAACAAAGACTTTACTCCAGTGCTGTATTTGTTACAAAAAGTAAATATCTTACCCCTGCAGTCTGCCCCTCTGTGTTTGGGGAAAAACTGGTAAAATTTCTGGCAGGACTAGTAAAGGTGTACAACACTTTTGACTTCCAAATCCCTAGTAGTATGATAATGTTATTACGGTAGGTTAATAAAGAGGTATAAAATATGGCAAGCTTTTGAGATATTCTCATCTCATCAGGCAAGAAGCAAGATATTGGATACAGAAATCTAGTAAAAGCAGGGTCTGGTAAAAGTGAATCCTTGCCATGTCAATTTTCTTTTCACACTACTCTATCTTCTGAGAAATACCCATAGTAGCCATGTTGCAAAGAGTGAAAAGAAAGCAAGAGATTGAAAGGCAGATTTTGCAACTTCCAAAAGTTGATTTCATTTTAACAAAGATAATAAGATCTCACTGTGAGAACACTGAAATTGACATTGCTAATTATGCATCCTGGAATATGTTGTTGTCCTTGTTCTTGTTGTGTGTCTTCAATTAGTTACCAACATATGGTGACCCTAAGGTGACCCTATCTTGAAGTTTTCTTGGTAGGGAAGGGATTTGCCATTGCCATCTTCTGAGGCTGAGAGAGTTTGACTTGCCCAAGGTCACCAGGTCCATGGCCAAGCAGGGATTCAAATTCTACTCTCCAGAGTCATTGTCCAACATTCAAACTATTACACCATGCTATATTTGGGAAGAGATCACAACAAACTATTGCCTCAATGTGTTAAAGTAAACATTTGTTATGTTGTATTTAATGAATTAGGAAATCATCATATTTAGAATATTAAACTTCTACTAGTGTAAAGAGGAAAGCGAATGAAAAAGCTAACTGTTGTTTTTGTTCTGTGGGGAAGACAAGAGACATCCCAACTGCTGTAAAGGGCTTAATTTGTAATACAAATTTGCAATGAAAGAGAAACACAGAGATTTATTTATCCAAAAGCCATATAATGGCCAGATGTGTCCCATCAAGTGGTCATTACGAAGTTGGGAAAACTGAGTACTAGACTTCTCTGCTGTATACTGCAAATGGACACTGCCTCTTTAAAAATATACACCAGTAAAACTGGAATGGTTTCTCTCAGATAATCCCTTGGATCTGGTATTTGGCAATGGTGCTGAGATCCCTAAATTCCCATGAAGAGTGCAGTTTCTATAGTTTCCTGGACAAGACGTGTCCTTCTAACCAAATGGTTGTGTAAATGTGCCCTTAAAAAGTTAAAAAGCAGAATATTCCAACCTTTATTCCTCCTATGATGAATAGGGCTTAAAATACTGTAAGAACCCAACCAGTAAAGTCTGAAAAATATTATTTCTTCCCTTGCCCTCTTTCTTTAAGTGTTATTATGCT